TTTAAAATTTTTGTGTTATTTTATGAAACATATTATTAAGAATTCCTGGGAATTTATTATGTAAACTCAGAAATTATTAAATTAGTTCAATATTACAAAAAAGAAGGGGCGTACATATCCTACGTTTCATTTGATTTCAAGTGAGCAATTTAATTGTGAATATTAATGATGTACTTAATATATGTAGCTATTCAAAACTTTGTAAGTCCCTCGACAAAATAAAAAAAATATTTGTTTGTAAAAAGAATTCTATATGATCGAAAATGTCATTCTTGAAGTATAGATTATAGAAGCATTTGATCTGAAACTGCTCATATTGCAATGATATTTTAAAATGCATATATAAAATTAATATTCAAATCTGACACCAACTAATCACAGAAAAAACTGAATTATTTTTGAAATTTAATTTGGAATAAATGAGGAACTGCAACCCTGTATATGGTAAAAAATCTAAAATCGATCCATAGTGAAAGAGAGTTTTCCGAGCCCGAGCCCTAATGTTTTTGAAAATTAAATATTAAATTTCAAAGAAATTGATTTATTATTTCATTTATTATAGCGATTGCTTTCAAATTTTTCACATTCGCTGATGGGGCGGCGGTCGACACTGCAGCTATGGACTGGTCTGTGCTTCTTTAGGGGAGTGAAAGAACATTATAGATGAGGAAACTAGAAGAAGAGTAAACTTGAACGAGTGAGCTGCAGGTATTGGGAAGGGGAGATCTCAGTATTGCAGCAGGTATTTCGACGAGAAACTGTTTATTGGGAAACATGGTTAAGAGACTGGTCGTTTCTTCATCAGGTATTTGCCGGTGGTGTCAAGACATCACGATGGTGGAGGATGTGTATCACGTGCTATGAGAGTACCCCGTTCTGATATGGAGGAGGGAACGCTTTTTGCTACTTTAACACCTTCCTTTCATTACGTCATCCATCCGTTCTGCAGTTATATGAAGAAATTTCTATTAGCTAACTCGAAAGTATTTTATTTACATAAAAGTTCAAATAAAAAAAAAATTTTTAGTATTTTTATGTGAGCAGTATAGGTACGAACTTTCTCCATTAACAGATCTTCTGCTTTATTTAAAAAAAAATAAAAGAAAATTATTTTACAGCAAAAGAAATTTTTATTATTGAGAGTGAGGCTAACATATTTAAGTTTTTCTTTCCTTGTAATCGTTCCAAAAATTAAAGAAGTAAAAACAAATTAATTAAATTCCAAAAATGTTTTTGAAATTACTTCTAAAATTTAATTTTAGCTGCCCCAACAGTTAATTTACTTCATTTGCATCAGAAATTTTGATAATCGCAAAACGTTTTTCTTCCCAGAATAAGGTACAGAAAACAGGAAAAAACAAGCAACTTTTTTAATAAATTAATTCTTAAAAATTATTTTAGAAATTTTATACAACCTCTATATACAAAGATTGTAATGTAATTTATATATAAATCGAAAAATAAATTTCTACGTGCCCAAGAAAAATGCACAAGACAAATTAAGTAGGTGTATGATTTGTTGGTTGATGGCAACGCCTCTTGTTATTATTAACTACTTTGCTAAATTTCATATGAAATTTGGAAATTCAATGCAGATTTAAATTGTTTCTGTTGTTTGTTGCACGTTATTGCTTCAAAAAAAATCAGTGTAAATATTTAAACTGTAGCAAAATATGAAGTTCTTTCAGCAACAAATTTAAATTATTATAAAATGTCACTTGGAACAGGTTACTTTAAAAAATAATTTACAGTGATCTGCGCTTACAATTTTCACCATATCTTTAAGAATTTAAAATTTCGTGTTAAACAGAAAGAAATTTACCTCTTGGCTTTAACCTCACAACAAATTTTGACAATTTTTTTTTCAGCAAAATTTTTTCATAATTACTCAAATCATTCAGGTATTTTGTGCACACCTTTTATAACTTTAATTTATTGTTAATCAAACCCAAACATTGTCCCAACATAAAACTGCATTAGAGAACAAAATGTAAAAAATTTTCAAGCACAAGGCTTGGTGATCAATTAATTTTACTTAAACAAGTACATGAACTTTTTATGTTAATAATCTCATGTGTTTTAAAAACAATTTATCGGGTTTCTGCATGATTGATATAATTAAAACAGAATTATTGGATAAATCTTAGAAAATTGAAAAAAAGTGAAGCTTTACTATTCTCATAAAGAATAAAAATTGTAATCATTATAAAGTAATTTTGGTTCTTATAAGAGTGTTCATTTGGCAATCACCTTTCCAATCTGAATAATTGGGCACAGCAATGAAAAAATTGCAGAAACAAAAAATAGAAAAATAAATGAAACTATAGTAATCTTTTTCCTCTAAAATGAGCAAAAATACAGAAAATTACAAAAAAAGCAATAAGAGAAACTCGTAGAGTTGAACGTGTCAACTGTACGATACCCATTAAAGAAATTTTAGAGCAACAATTTTTTTCAGAATAATAGTCCTGTTGCTAAACTTATTTGTATAAACATAATTTGTAGTGATTTTTAAAATACCGAAAAATTGTTTTCAAAAGTTGTACAGTAACTTTTACAGCAACCTTTACAACCATAACCAGATTTTATACATAAGAAGCAAATTCTATTGCTTCGTTTTTTACTATTAAAACATCGATTTTGTGCTTGAACACTGTGGTCTTCATAGTTTTCGAAATATAATTAAATTATTTTGAGAGTTGTGAGGCATTTAATTTGACATGGATACTACATTAACGAATTCAAAATAAACATGGTTTGGTAATAACTTTATTCATTAATAAATATCATCTTAATATTTTACAACATTAAGAATTTTATGAAAATGTGATTATCTTATCATAAATGCATTTTCGAAGTATGGCAGCGACGACGACAGACGGACCAATTGATGACCGGATGTGCGAAGAGGCACGACTCAATCAAATAAGTATATCTCAGTATTACAAACACAGTGTCAAATTTATAATACCCTTCGAGCATTCGTTGGTATACAGATGTAAAAATTTAAGTATATTACATTTATATTTGTATATGAATTGCATGCGAAAAATTCTCTATTTTAAGCCTTTTCAAAAAAAAAATTAAATATTTCTGTGTATATTCTGTGAAATAATAATTGCAAATGAAGTTTATCTTTATCTTACTTTAACAATTTTTCCATTATCCTTGTTGAATAGTATTAAAAAAAAACAATTTTTATACACAATACCAAAACAATCTAGAGGGGATAAAAAAATAATTTTTTTTTTGCTGTAATTTAAAGAGCATTTTTGTTTTTTGCTAAATTTAATTATTATTAAGGAGCACGATGAATAAATTATACAGCAAAATGTAAAATCTATAAATACAAAATATTATTTTATCCTTATTATCCTTATAGAAGTACCTATATATGTATACTAAAAGTTTAGTATTATCGCTTCAAACGAATTTTGCATTTTAATTTATTTTGTTTTTTTATGCTAGTATGTAAATGAAAGTATGCTCGTATTTTGTAAATGAAAGTTTTATTTTGTTACTAAGGCTACAACTTAAAATGCAATTTAAGTTTTTAATAATTTTATTAAATTTTTTTTTGAAAATGCAATAATTTTTTTCCAGAGAAGTAATTATGATGATAAATTTCAGGAGTTATATTAGACCTTGGCGAAATTTTATAAGTCACTTTTTTTTTAACAGAAGTTTTAATTGTAAAATTTAATTTGGAAGACCAAAAATAAGAACCATACAATATTTTTTAAATGGTGCTGCTGTGCTTCAACATTTGATGTGGTTGTCATTTGTAAGTATAGTCTGCTATAGCGAAAAAGATTTCCCAAATTATATTTTGGAAAATTTTCTAGGAAATAAATAAACCACTACGCTTTATTAGATTTTTATCAAAACCAATGGTGAACCTTTAAAACAATAACATTTCTACGAAAGAGTTTGACGAACTCCTTAATTTTAAGAAAATTATAAATAAAAAATGAAATAATGAGTGTGCTACTTTAAAACTATCGGGAAGAATAGGCTAGAAAAGTTGATAATTTTCATTTAAAATTTTAACTATGACTAAAAATTTAACCAAATTTTTAAATCGAATTCAACCATTGTCTTTTCTATAGCATTAAAATTACAAGAATTAAAGCTGGCAGCTAAGAAATTTATTTTACTCCTTCTAAAATCTTTTTTTGAGTTAAGTGAGGTGTTTCAGAGTTATTTTTAAAGCTCTATAACTGCTTTACGATATTTTTCAGTAATTAAATCAAAATTATACACAGTTCTTGCAGTAACAACTGTTATTAAGTTTTATTATTTCGATAACATAGCGCATGAGTTCTTTAGTTATCGCTGTTCATGACGGATGGACAAACAAAAGGAGGTACGATTATACCAAATATGGAATATCTCAGACGTACCTATACTAGACACGATTTTTATGTACGATTTTAATTATTGTTGAATAAACTCTTCAGCAATTTAATTTTAATTATTAGAGCATTGGAGATTTATAAAAAAATTTTAAAGGTCTTAGTTGCTGCTATGCTACATATAATAAACATTACTTGCTAACCATTCATTGTATACCTGATTTGGTCAAAATGAATTTTATTCTAAGAGTTGCATATAACGTTGTCGTGTAAACAACGTTTAAACTTTAACCAATTTCGAGATTATTAATCCAATTCCAAATTTAATTTCAATGTTTGTCAAAAGCTCTAAAACAAAAATTTTCGTTTTTCAAATTTTATTCAAAAAACACTACCTAAATTTAATCGTTCCAAACTTTAGGGAATTAAATTTAAAATTTCGTAATTTTTCAACATAATTGAATGGGCTTTTAATTTGGATAATTTTTTTTTTTTGTCCTTTCCTTTGTAAATTTGAATGGAATACGTTCTACGAATGGTAAAAAATAAAAATTCTATATAAGACTATCATTGTATTCTTAAAAATATCTTAAACTTTTTATCTATTTATACTAACTTTTATGTTCTTTTCTTATTTATTTGCAGAATGTTGACAAATCACAAAGGGGTGGCAGTGAAAAAATATGCCCATTCTTATAAAAACTTTATACTTCTAAAGTGCTTATATTACTAAGAAATAAAAACAAAACAAACAAACAAATAAAGAAAAAAAAAGTATAAAAACGCTTCAAAGTGAAAATATAAGGATAAAAGAAGCGAAAAGACTAACCAATTACATAAGAGTTTGCAATTTTTATTTTGAAATTTCTTAATACAAAAATACACACACATGGTAATGATAAAATAGTATGGGTAAACATGTGTGAATAAAAAGCTCTCTTCATTGTATATAATAAAACGTTGAATGTATTTGACGGATGAACTGTATAAAAAAATATTATATTTCGGTCTATAACAGGATAAATGAAGAAAAAAATGTAAAAAATTCACCATTTTATATACAATTTAAATTGCTCTTGTAGTAATGGTTAAAACGGATATTGTAAAAAGTCTTTTTGAGACATTTCTCATCCTTGTGATCCTTTTAAATGGTAAGTGCTTCTAATAAAATTTATTTTTTTTTTCTCTTTAAATAAAAATATTTTTTAAAACATTTTTAAAATAAAGTGCTTAGATATAAGTTGTTTTTGTTTTCTCTTTATTTTTTAAAATGTATAAAAAATTTGGTGTCATAAAATACAATAGAAATCATACATTGTTGTATATGAATCTATAGGAAGAAGGAATATTAATAGTTGGTTTCCACTTATCTTCATGGTTAGCTGGAAAATAGAACATTTTATTTGAATAATTTAAAATAAATATCACTAGTAGCTATTGTTGTACTCTGATATATGATTAAAATAATGTACAATTAAAAATATGCTTATATTGCATACTTTTAGGGGAAATGCTGAAGTAATTATTTTAAAATGAAATAGCTGTGCGAGAATTACAAAATTAAACTCAATTGCCAGTTTAAATAAGTGAAATATATTTTAAGTGTGAAAACGTTTCCTGTAACCACGGTTAAATGTATTTACTATCACGAAACGTATTAGTAGTTAAAAAGAAGTTGGGATTGAAAATTATTTCGAACATTATTGCCTACATTTTTCCTGATAGAAGAAATAACTCGCCATCTTCTTTTGGTGACTGAAGCAATATTTTATTTTTCTTCGATACGATAAAATTTCCAAACTTTGCGATTTTATGTATTTATAAGTTCAATACTAGAAGGATAAGTTAACATTCTGAAAAATCTTAAGGTTTATACTGGCTTTAGTTATAAAAGATATAAAATATATTCAGAATATATTCAGAAGACACTTGCTGAGAAGTGCGTTATTTATTAGAAAATTTCTAATGTAATTCACATTTTTTTGTACAAATAGTATGCAAGCAACTTTTATTACTGTTATTTCACAGATTAGATTAAGCAAAATTTGAATAGTTTAACTGCAATAAGTTTTAGAAAATTTTCATCAGTGTCGAATTTCTGCAAAATTATAAATAAAATTTTTTATGAATATTCTCCATTAATCTTCCTCTTAACTTTCCAATCCCTTAATTATCGAAATAATGAAAATTAAATTCACTAGAATTTCTTCTTTTAAAATTTAGTACAATTGTAATACTTTATTACACTGAAAATAATTGAGGTGAATTTCATGCATTTTGTGATTCTTAAAATAAAAATGCATTCAAGTCAAAATCTTCAAAGAGTTTAATATTATTTAACTCAACCACTCAACCTTCACCTCAATCCTTACATATACATATTTATGCTTGTAATATTATTTATATTATACATTTTTCACAATTCAATTATTAGAAATTTTACCATCGGCTTAAAATATTCAAGACCTTTATTTACCTTTAGTACCTTTGCTGTTACAGCAACTCTAAAACTTTCTCTTTATTGCATAGATTGCAAAGGTCTTATATGTATCAAAATATCAATAATGCATGAATTATGCTTAACATGCATATATGCAATCTTTTATAAGTTTATCTTTTGTCTTAGATATTTTGACCTTGAAAACATTATCGTGTACATAAAATAAAAATAAAATACAAAAGTTACTCATATAACGATAAAGTTACAATGACGCTTTTGTACTTACATAAAAAGGCTTAAATACGCGGGATGCGTTGAAGAAGACGAAAAAAAATTTCTTTTGCGAGTCCTTTTTAAAATTTATTTTTATATGCATTTTAAATTATTAGATTTTGCTTTGTTTAAAAAAACAAAAAAGATTCAAACCACAATGATTCGATAAGAAGGGAACTAAAAATTAAACAAAAAAGAAATTAAAATAAATAAAGCAACCATCCATTTTAGTTTCGTAAAAAAAAATATTTTTTTTTTGTTACAAGATTTTTAGGTCTCTTCAGGAACAAATTAAACTATAGCCTTGTCTTTAACATAAAAAATTAAACAATAAAAAAGACAGTCAGACATTCTAAGTTTTTGCAGTGCAGTGCAACTCAATTTAAAAAATTAAGTCACTTATGTTAATTTGAGTTGTCAATTCGAAGCACCGAGAACGACGTCTTAATAAAGTTATTATAGCTACTGCATACTTAAACTTTTTTTTAACTCTCAAACGTTTGTAAGTCAATTATCAACATCTTTTTGAAGAACTAAGTCATAAATTGCAAAATAAAATTGTAACTTCAGCTCGTAAGAAGTACAAAATAGACGTTCGGATGCTGTCATTCTAATAACATATTTTTTGTTCAAAAAATTTAAAAAATATTCTAAATAAACCAAATGCTAACAAAACAAGAATACAAATGAAAGTAACCGAAAAATTTTTATTATTTTATTATTTTATGTAATAATTATAACAAAACAAAGAAAATTAATGAAACAATGGAGGGCATAGCAGCAACAAACAGCAACAATATAACAATATTTATTTAATTTTGTTTTTCTTTTTACATACCTACATAAATACATAAAGCCTAGAGTATAAGAGATGCCGACATTCAGTAGGGATTTGAATTTTTATTTTAATTTTCCAAATTAAATATTTTTGTACTCATATTTTTAGTGTGTTCTCTCGATTTTTTTTGTATTGTTATTCAAATTTTGTAAAATTAAACAATAGAAGCAAAAAAAACAAGAGACCAAAATCGAAGTGTCCTTGTATATTATTTTTGTTTTTCTCTATTTTTTTTCTTACATTTACAATTGGATGTAAATTTTTTTTATTTTTTTATTAAATTCGCCTCTAACTCCCATCATTTGTCATTATGAATGTAAATTTTAATTAGAGGCTTTTAATAATTAAAAAATATAAAAAAAATTCTTTTTTGGATTTTTATTTTCTTTTATTATGAAATTAGTCCGAAAAAAGCAAAAAAAAAGGACGAATTTTCCTTTTAAGCTTTTTGTATTTTTTATTTTTTCCTATCATTTTATTGTCCTCTTTAATGAATGAAAAATAAGTGGCCTGTTTTTGTTTGTTTTTTGTAAACAGGACATATTTATAAATTAAAATATTTTTCATTTTACAAAAAAATAAATTTGAAGAAAGCAAAAAAGATGAATTTCTTTAATTTACCATTATTATTGGCTTTAAGCAAAATTTAGTTTCACAAACTCATAATTTTAAAGGAAATTTTGTTAGTACAATATTATTTATATTTTTAAAATATTTTTTGAAATTCAATAAAATAATAAAATCTTCTTAAACTTTTCAACCATAATTTCAACAAGCAAGATGTAAATTCAATAGAAAAGAAAATTTATTCTTACAAATTTTTTCAAAGGAATGCAACTCAATTTGTCAATCATTATTAAAATATTTTTATAAGAATATGAAATATTAACTTCAATTGCCAAGCGGCTACTTCGAACCACAAAAATAAAAACCTCACGGTAAATAACTGGTAAAACTCTTAGAAGCGCCGACGTCAGAAAACAATGTAATGCGCAATATATAATAAGTTTGGCGAGGCATCAAAGACGTGACTGGACGGAACATGTAGGAAGAATGAATGAAAATAGGCTTGTCAAAATCGCCTTTAGCAATATGACATCTTCCCCTGGAAGCCACCCAAAAAAGTGACGGAAGTGCTGGACAAGCCAATACCAGGAAAGTGCTATTTCGAACAGAGCGTAGTCTTATAAAAAGATGAAGAAGAAAGAGCGTAATAATAATTTTATGATGTACATAAATTCGACGTGCAAAAAAATTATATGAAAATAGATGAAGCAACTTATTTTCCTCCAAAATATCAATTAATATTTCTGTGGTGTTGTTAGTCGATACAGCTATTTACTTAATCAATCCTTCAAATAAAACTATTATAGTAAAGTTTAAATTTAAAAGTAAGTTTAAAAATGTTTTAAGGTATTGAAACAATTTTTATCTTAAACAGCCCAAATATGACTCTGATTAATCAAATTTAATAATTTACATAATCTTTTATATATAATTATTTTTCTTAACTCAAATCTTGCAATAATATTTTGATGCAGCTAGTAGAATATTTTTTAAACAACGGTATTTTCTGTTGTTCAAGGAAAAGTGACACTTTATAAATTTATTGGCTTGGTACGAATTTATTTACTGAAAGACTACTAACACAACAGCGGCTTATTATATTCGTAACTCCACCATATTATTTTATATGAATGAATATTCCCTTGTTGATTTAAGACAATTTGAAGACAAACAAATTCCATTACGAAATTTCGTTGTAGCTGCATATAAGACGCAAGAATTGAATTTATAAAAATAATTATTCATATACTTATTACGAAACTAATTTTTTGCCTTTTTTAAATCCTGTGCACCTCTTTTTCAAAGAATTTGCTTTTTTACTATTGACAAATTGGACCCATCTAATTAATTGTTGATGCTATAACATCTCAGTAATCGAAAAAGTTCTTTAACCCATTATCTATAAAGATTATTTTTTATTTCAATAAAGTTTATTTAGGAGAGGTCAATATTTCAAGTTTGACAAAGAGGAGAATTAACTTTTGGTTAATTAGACTTCATTATACTTAAAATTTGTTACCCCAAAATTTGATTAACGTGTCTAATTTCTGTACAAACTACCTGTTGAAAATAAACTAATTATACAGGGCTTGTTTCACAGACAGTTGATTGTTCTTTATTTTCGATCTTAAAATCAATATTTAGTTTAAGCCATAGTCTTCGGGAGGAATCTTGTCAAAGTCAGAAATTTTGTCTTTTTTTAATTTCTTTTTTCGTAAAACTCGAAAAATCTCGGAAATTTGTCTTATTATTTTTTTTTGTTTTTTTATTCCTGAAGCTGTTCCACCTTCAAAATTACTTGCCACAATACACGAACACCCTGTAGACTATGGGTTATTTTTAAATTATGTTAATTATAAATATTTTCTTAAAATATGAAATTTAATTGTAACAAAGTAAATAAAAGAATGAAAATCAGAACCTACTTTAATATATAAAATGCCTAAAAGTCCGTTTAAGAATTTTTAAATATTGTATAAGATCTAAACTAGTTCAGTTTTACTCGTATTAGAGATTAAAGCTAAATACATTTA